TTCTCCCTGAAACCGTCCTCGATCACCCTAATCTGAGCCTACCACCTGTTTCCTGTGGGGACCCAGCCTGACATAGGCGTGGAATGAAAACCAGGAGGTTCTCAGGGTCATTTATTAAGTATTGGTAGAAATAAAAGAGGTAATTGGTGCTTGTGCTTCAAACGTGTGGAAGGAGCAACACTATGCTGCAAAGTCCCAACAATTCTCAGTGGATCCACTCTGCCAGTCAAGGAAACAGCGACAGAGAGAGCAATAGAAAAAGGAGGGAAATCCCCCAGATGCTAGGTGAACAGCCCGCCCCCATCATTCCTCCACCCTCATCTCTAACTGAGCCACCCAAGGAAGCACATCCTCTCTCCCTCCCTCTGGCCTCTTTGAGATAAGGGCAACCTCTCTGGAGACGCCCACGATCTTTTTCCTCTTCTAGGGCACAGAGAGCTTTCGAGACAACTGTAATGGAATAAAGCTGTTTCCCCAAACAAATGCTGCCCCTGCTCTTCACCTGCTGGCATGCCTTGCCTCGGGGCTCCCAAGTCCTGCGCCGGGCCGACCATTTGCCCAGGCCTTTGGGGTGGGGTGGAGGCTGGTTGGCTGGCACCCAAGCAGAGGCAGCCCTCATAGGCTCGCACCTGCTGGGTTCTTTCAGGTGACAGCTTGGTTGAGACCCACCACCCGTTTTAGATGTGCCCAGCGAGGAGAGATCATCCGGCCCAAGTACTCAGTTTCAAAAGCATCTCGGCAGTCATAGCAACAGTCCGCATGCCAACCTGAGGGGCTCTAGGGAGAGAAGCCTCAGGGAACACTGAGCTAATAGCACATGGATGACCAGTCCTGAGATGCCATTTGGCAGGGACAGGGCATCCTTTCTCTGCCCTCACCTTTTTAAAAAATATATTTTGATTGACTTCAGAGAGGAAGGGAAAGGGATAGAAACATCAATGATGAGAGAGAATCATGGATCGGCTGCCTCCTGCTCACCCCACACTGGGGATCGAGCCTGCAACCCGGGTATTTGCCCTGACCTGGAACTGAACTGTGACCTCCTGGTTCATAGGGTGATGTTCAACCACTGAGCCATGCCGGCTGGGCCCGTAATAATTTTTAAAACTATTTTGTCAGAGGCACTGACCGCTTTTCCCTTACATTGTCAAGTTAAAAAATGACAACAGCCACCGCAATAGCTGCCCGGTGTGAATGAATCAAAAATTCTACCTATTTTGTCAAATTGGCAAAAAAATATATTTTGGGGTGTGCTGATTTTTAGTAATTACCTTATGTATGTCATGAGATGAAAAAGGTTGAAAATCGCTGCTCTCAGGACATCTAAGACACACCCTGGCTGAGGGTGGACCCACCAAGCAACATTCTGTTGAGAATTCCACTTTTAACATTTGTGTGTTTCCTCATCTAAACACACCGCACCCTGCCTTGTTCCACAAAAGCTACGGAGTAACGTGGCTTCCATGTGACCTGCTGTTAGCTTGGCAGTTAAGATGTCACAGTGAGTTAGTGCTCTGGCCTTCTGATTTCCCTATCAATCTGCTGGGCATGTATTTCATGTGACTCACTCTCCCTGACCCTCACCTCTTGGGGACACTCTCGGGTAACTCCGCTGCCTGGCCTACCCTACCCCACTGTCACCAGCCCACACTGTAACCCACATCCTGAAGTCATTGCAAACAACCATTCTCTCCAACTGCAAGCATCAGGAATTTCTTGGGGTCATTATCCACAACATTTTATTTATCTATTTTATTTTTTAATTTTAAAATATATGTTTATTGGTATCAGAGAGCAAGGGAGAGGGAGAGATAGAAACATCAATGATGAGAGAGAATCAATGATCGGCTGCCTCCTGCATGCCCCCTACTGGGGATTGAGCCCGAAACCGGGGCATGTGTCCTTGACCAGAATCGAACCTGGGACCCTTCAGTCCACAGGCAGATGAAATCTACTGAGCCAAACCAGCTAGGGCTATTTTATTTTTTAAATATATTTTTATTCATATCAGAGATGAAGGGAGAGGGAGAAAGAGAGAGAAAAGGAGATAGAAACATCAATGATGAGAGAATCATTGATCAGCTGCCTCCTGCACGCCCCACACTGGGGATTGAGCCCGCAACCCGGGCATGTGCCCTGACCGGGAATCAAACCGTGACCTCCTGGTTCATAGGTCAACACTCAACCACTGAGCCACACTGGCTGGGTGCCCAACATTTTATTTTGAACAATTTCAAATTACAGAGCAGTTACAAGGATAGTGCAATAGGGAATAACATTTCACGCCTAAATATTGAAGCCCATAACTTCGAAGGAAAGGACATTCTCCCATGTAATAATCATATCTTATCACGCCCAGGAAATTTAATACTGAGGACAAAATGTCATCTGATCATCCATTCTGACATTGGGGCCAGCGGCTGTCCGTAGCCTCTTTCCACACTTTACTGCATCTTCCCCTCAGGAGGGAGTTGCTGGCAAGTGTTTAAATTGGTCAGAAATAAGAATGCAAAGTGGAACTGAAGCACATCACAGACTTTGGACCAGAAATGGCCTGTGAGCCGCTGGAAGAGATGCCACCGGGCCAGCTGATGGTCACACAGCTTGAGGACCACAAAGCCCAGGCAGGAGAGCACTCCCAGAACCAAGTACACCCCTGAGCACCTGCTGCCGTGGCGCCTGTGGACACGCAGGGCCTGGCTCATGGCGGCAGCAATGTGCACACCCAGGGCGACCTCAAACCCACGGGGATGCAGCAGGGCAAGGCCATAACTGGACAGCGAGAGGCACTCGATGGCGAGGAGCAGGCCGGGCTCCCAGCCCCTGTCTAGGTAGAGGCACCACGCCACAGGCCATGCAAAGATGGGCAAGGTGAACCACTGGTCCAGCACAGCAGCCGGGTGCGTCTGCAGCCCAATCCGCAGCCACTGCACGGGGCCGTAGATCATAGCCATGCCCGCGAAGACATCCTTCAGGTAACGAGCCCGCTGCACCTCACTGGGGTGCCCCAGGGCACTGACATTTCTCCGTAGCCAGTGCACTCCCAGGAGCACGTAGGCCACGTTAATGAGCGAGTTGAAGGGCATGGCTAGGAAGGCGGGGAGGCCGGCTACCGGGGCTTCTGCATAGTGCTCATAGCCCACTTCCACAAAGACGCTTTCAAAAACGCCCATGTAGACGGTGGCCACGCAGAGGCAGCTGGCCACGGCCACGTGGCAGAGGGCCTGCTCTGACTTGGGATTCATCTGGAAGCCTAGTTGTGACTTGGGGCAGAGAGCTTCAGAGAGTGGCAGCCTTCACTGTCCTTTCAGAATTCAGATAAACAGCTTTTGCAAAATACTCCTGGGCCTCCCAGCTGAGCCAGCAGGAAGACGTCCCGTGATTTCCGACACAGATGCTACAACCTTGCCCTGGAGTGGCAGTGGCAGGCCGGGGGAGGCGGGGGTCCCGCTGATTGGCTGGCACACGTGGAGGACCGTTCTGCCTTTTTCCTTTGTGGTTAGAAAAAGAGTGTGGTTAGAAAGAAAACCATCCAAAGAAGAGCCTCCATCTTGCCGACTCTCAGCCTCAGGATCCACCAACAGTTTTCATTAGAAAAAACAAACAAACACAAAAAACACACATACACACACACCATAAAACAAGTAAAAGTGAAAATGATACTTACAGTACTAGTATGTCACCTTCTTACACATGGCTTCTAGAATCTTCTTTTGCCAAGGCATTTTGTGCCTCTTGACAACTATGCTGTTCTTCTCTCATCTGTGGACTATAAAAATCCTGCTCCTGCCCTAGCTGGTTTGGCTCAGTGGATAGAGTGTCGGCCTATGGACTGAAGGGTCCCAGGTTCGATTCCAGTCAAGGGCACATGCCTGGGTTGTGGGCTTGATCCCCAGTAGGGGGCGTGCAGGAGGCAGCTAATGATTCTCTCTCATCATTGATGGTTCTCTCTCTCTCTCTCTCTCTCCCTCTCCCTTCCACTCTGAAACCAATAAAAAAATATTTTTTAAAAAATCCTGCTCCTTGCCCTAGTTCCCTTAGAGCCACTGTATTTAGAGACACCAACGTCCCTAGATCTGTTCTTACAACTCAGAATGGGTTTTCCCACTTCCGAGACGTTATATACATGGAAGTTTCCAGGCTAGCCCCCAAACCCTTTTAGCCAAATACCCAGCTGAACAAGAGACCATTAGCTGTGGTCTAAGCTCTGGAATCCCAGGCAAGATGGTGTGGTGCTGGAGGAGGCAGGGGGCGAGTATGAGCATGCCTCCTCTGTTTCTTGGGTGTGAGGCCAGGCAGCACAGGGATATCTCCTCCAGGCCTGCTACCCTGGCTCACCTTTCTGCCCTCCCCAGAGTTGCTATACCCGCCCACAAATCACCCTCTTTCCTTGTCCCACAATACAACTTTCCATTTCCTGCAATCACAGAAGCAAATAATTTATTTACTGATTTTTTATTGATTTTAGAGAGAGGAAGGGAGAGAGAAACATTGATTTGTTGTTCCACTTATTTATGCATTCATTGGTTGTTTTTAAAAAATATATATAGGAAGGAAGAGGGAGAGAGATAGAAACATCAATGACGAGACAGAATCATTGATAGGCTCCCTCCTGCATGTCCACCACTGGGGATCAAGCCCACAACTCGGGCATGTGTCCTGACTGGGAATCGAACTGTGACATCCTGATTCATAGGTTGACATTCAACCACGGAGCCACGCCTGTCAGGCCATTGGTTGATTCTTTTTTTCCTTTTAAAAAACCTTTATTGTTGAAAGTATTAAATAT